AAATTTCTATATATATATATATATATATATATATATATATATATATATATATATATATATATATATATATATATATATACAAATATAATACATTTAGCTAAAGACAAACGAAATTATTATAAGACTGACACAGACAGTTGCGCTCTCTTCTATAGGAACATTGAAAAACTTAGTTTGATAGTAACACTAAGATATACTGTGATATATTTTGTTTATAATAATTTGTTATTTGTGTTATTTTGTAAAACAGATTCTCTAAAATGATTACCGAATGTAATTGAAACGTCAGAATAAAAATATGGAACATATAAAAATGATAATACACTTTTAATGACCTAAAGCCAAACAATCGGGAAACAAATAAAATTTAACAGGGAGGAATGTCACAATTCAAGTAAGGAAAATACGATCAAAATGCATTTATACAAACAAATTAAACGAAAATGCAAATAGGAGCAACATCATCGAGTAATACTCAAAATATAACAGGAAAACAGCAACACTAAGAGCTTCAACAACATGTTAATAAAATGCAGAAGACTAGGGTTATTTCAAAATTTAATTTTCGAAACGACAAAAAACAAGAAATAAATGGCAAAATTCAAATGGCAAAAATCAACGCCAACAACACAAATGCATACATGCTAAACGAATTGTATATTTGAGTTAAACGGTTTAAATACATTTTTTGGAGTTCTGGTAATTTTTCCAAAATATTTAATTTTTCTTCTCTTGTTCTTAAAGGACACCACTTCAAACAATATGAACTTGTCGTCTTCTCAATCTCCAAGTTCGTTATCCTGGTTTTTAAATCTGTAGAGTCTTAAATGTTAAATGATGATTCCTCGGTTAAGTGTTTTAGAATATTGGCAATGTACTTCGAAAGTCCGTGAGAAGTTGAGTTGTTGGATGATTATATTACATTATTACAACTTTGATATTTGTTACTTATTTCTGCAAAGTTGGTGTATTCTATGAGGTTAATGATGACGATCTAAACATAGTTGACTGTTTTGTTGGAAAGTTTAACAATTTTGTATTTATATAATAAACCCCCAGAAATAAATTTAAAGAAATAATATTTTTTAACGGTACCGCCCAATATTCGTTATTTTTTATTCGATTTCCCCAAAATTTCCCCAAATGAATGGTTCCAAATTTTGTATTTAGAATTTGTTAATGTTTCTACCTCAGATGGCAGAATTTTGTCCATTAGGTCCACGTTTTATTATAGCACCCATATAACAACACTTTCGTATATTCGCTATTATTTAATCCACATTTTCTAACGAATTGTTTGTATTTGTGTCCGTAATGGGTTCTAGCTCTGGTGGCAGAATATTGTATAGTGAAGTTATAGTGACGAAACGTGCTTATTTCATTGTTCCCACAGTTTTGGTTTTTTTTCAGGTAACTGAACGCTATACGCGTGTGCTACTCAGCACATTTAACGTTCCCACATGTTCTTGAAATATGGTGTAGCAGTATCAGCAGAGCGGTAGCAGAGCAACGTCAGTGGAATCTCATTACCCAAATACAGTGCCGCAATGTCAGCAAAGCGGTAGCAGAGCTACGGCAGTGGAGCATATCGTAGGAACTTAGATTAAGAAAAGAAAAATATAATGTAATCAGTGGACAACAACTCATGAAAGTAGCAATATATTATTAATAAATAAAAATAAATACAATAAAAATTAACATTAAAATCCCATAATTAGCTCCCAACGTGGGGCAAAAATAAGTCGAAGTGAACTATAACGAAACGAAGACAACACTACTTGACACCAAGGAACGATTATCCTTGGGCAGCGTTGAGAATACACCGGAAGTCTGAACGACAACATAAGGAACACTATTTGTCACCAAGGAACGATTTTCATTGGGCAACGTTGAAAATACACTGGAAGTCTGAAAACACTGTAAGTCTAAAAACACTGAAAGTCTGGAAAGACTAGAAGTCTGAAAATTACTGGAAGTATATATATACTACCTGGAAATTCATTATAAGTTAACTAATTCATTACAAACAAGTTAAAAAACAGTAAGTTCGGCCGGGCCGAACTTTGAATACCCTCTACCACTTGGAAATTTTCAAAAAATAAAATCCTTAAAAATTTCTATTACAACTTTAAAAATACCGAAGATAGTAATTATATTGGAGTGTATACGACGTGGACCTACATATGCATTGTTTGTCATAAGCCATTACAATATTCAAATTCGAAACATTAATTAAACGGTCAATAATGTAACTAAAATCATCAAAATATCGTATATAGGGAGGTACCGTTATATCGGAGCTGTGCGAAGACCTGGACCAGCATAGACAATTTTCTGTCACAGGCTGTAGCATCCATTACGAACTTCAAATACGACATCTCAAACAATTTCGGTGGGTATTGTACCTAAAATCGTCAAATACCGAATATAGGGAGGTACTGATATATGGCGCCTATACGAAGACCTGGACCTGTGTAGACAATTTTCTGTCACGGACTGAAGTTCCCATTATGAACTCTAAATACGTAATTTAAAACAATCCAATTGAAATTGAGGTACCGTTATATGGGGGCTATACGAAGACGTGGACCTGGACAAGCAATTTTCTGTCTTAGACTGTAGTATCCGTTTCGAATTTCAAATACCAAATTTGGAACAGTTTCTTTGAATAGTGTCGCTGAAATCATCAAAATATCGAATATCGGGAGATACCGTTATATGGGGGCTATATGAAAACGTGGACCTACATGACCCATTTACGAACTTAACCTGCCTACTGAAAAAATAAACATGTGTGCAAAATTTTAGCCATATATCTCAATTCATTCGAAAGATAGCGTGATTACAATAGACAGACAGACGGACAGACAGACAGACGGACATCGCTAAATCGACTTAGAATTTTACGCTGATCAAGAATATATATACTTTGTTGGGTCTGACATGAGTATTTCGAGGAGTTACAAACGGAATGACAAAGTTAATATACCCTCCATAGTATGGTGGAGGGTATAAAAAGTAAAACAACATAAAATAGTGATTGAAAATATATGATTGAGTTAGAAACCTTGCTTGAAAGGTAAAATTTAGAAAATATAGAACAAAAAATTAACAATTGAGTGAGTTAATAAAAGCGGATGTGAGCAAAGCATTATGTGCTCAAAGAATAGAATTTGACACAAAAATTACCGCGGTTCAGGGACAATTTAACTTGGCGAAATCGAAAGTGCGAAGGTTACGGTCAACCCACTTGTGCCGTGTGAAATCACTCTAGATGCGATAACATCTCTTCCGGAATTTTCCGGCAACAAGGTATGTCTTGTGTGACCATACTAAGAAATAAAGTGCGGGATGCAGCCAATGCGGTACTCTCATCTTTTAACACAGTGTAAGTTTTAGTGCAATCATTGCATAGGTAAGCAAACAAACGTCCTCTCTATTTAATAGAACAGGAACTGTCCACACTTAGACAGGGTTCTTATGAACAAGAAATTCTTATGAAACTTCTAACAATAAAAAGGCAAACTCTGCGCAATCTTTCTCTAATCACGAACACAATGCAGGACACAAGAATCCAACAACAACTCTGACCAAAGACGAGTGGAGCCTATGGAGGTGGGCCCCTCCCTCTCCCAATTTAAGCATCCTACGTATCATACTCATACTGACAGGCCGCAAGGACATATGACGAAACGACCCGCTAATTCTGGGAAATACACAGAACCAAAAATAGAACGTGTAAATTATCTTAACGATGATCATAATCTACCTGATTTACCTGCTGATCTGGCATACGAAAACGAAGCAAACGAATGATTACCGAATGTAATTGAAACGTCAGAATAAAAATATGGAACATATAAAAATGATAATACACTTTTAATGACCTAAAGCCAAACAATCGGGAAACAAATAAAATTTAACAGGGAGGAATGTCACAATTCAAGTAAGGAAAATACGATCAAAATGCATTTATACAAACAAATTAAACGAAAATGCAAATAGGAGCAACATCATCGAGTAATACTCAAAATATAACAGGAAAACAGCAACACTAAGAGCTTCAACAACATGTTAATAAAATGCAGAAGACTAGGGTTATTTCAAAATTTAATTTTCGAAACGACAAAAAACAAGAAATAAATGGCAAAATTCAAATGGCAAAAATCAACGCCAACAACACAAATGCATACATGCTAAACGAATTGTATATTTGAGTTAAACGGTTTAAATACATTTTTTGGAGTTCTGGTAATTTTTCCAAAATATTTAATTTTTCTTCTCTTGTTCTTAAAGGACACCACTTCAAACAATATGAACTTGTCGTCTTCTCAATCTCCAAGTTCGTTATCCTGGTTTTTAAATCTGTAGAGTCTTAAATGTTAAATGATGATTCCTCGGTTAAGTGTTTTAGAATATTGGCAATGTACTTCGAAAGTCCGTGAGAAGTTGAGTTGTTGGATGATTATATTACATTATTACAACTTTGATATTTGTTACTTATTTCTGCAAAGTTGGTGTATTCTATGAGGTTAATGATGACGATCTAAACATAGTTGACTGTTTTGTTGGAAAGTTTAACAATTTTGTATTTATATAATAAACCCCCAGAAATAAATTTAAAGAAATAATATTTTTTAACGGTACCGCCCAATATTCGTTATTTTTTATTCGATTTCCCCAAAATTTCCCCAAATGAATGGTTCCAAATTTTGTATTTAGAATTTGTTAATGTTTCTACCTCAGATGGCAGAATTTTGTCCATTAGGTCCACGTTTTATTATAGCACCCATATAACAACACTTTCGTATATTCGCTATTTATTTAATCCACATTTTCTAACGAATTGTTTGTATTTGTGTCCGTAATGGGTTCTAGCTCTGGTGGCAGAATATTGTATAGTGAAGTTATAGTGACGAAACGTGCTTATTTCATTGTTCCCACAGTTTTGGTTTTTTTTCAGGTAACTGAACGCTATACGCGTGTGCTACTCAGCACATTTAACGTTCCCACATGTTCTTGAAATATGGTGTAGCAGTATCAGCAGAGCGGTAGCAGAGCAACGTCAGTGGAATCTCATTACCCAAATACAGTGCCGCAATGTCAGCAAAGCGGTAGCAGAGCTACGGCAGTGGAGCATATCGTAGGAACTTAGATTAAGAAAAGAAAAATATAATGTAATCAGTGGACAACAACTCATGAAAGTAGCAATATATTATTAATAAATAAAAATAAATACAATAAAAATTAACATTAAAATCCCATAATTAGCTCCCAACGTGGGGCAAAAATAAGTCGAAGTGAACTATAACGAAACGAAGACAACACTACTTGACACCAAGGAACGATTATCCTTGGGCAGCGTTGAGAATACACCGGAAGTCTGAACGACAACATAAGGAACACTATTTGTCACCAAGGAACGATTTTCATTGGGCAACGTTGAAAATACACTGGAAGTCTGAAAACACTGTAAGTCTAAAAACACTGAAAGTCTGGAAAGACTAGAAGTCTGAAAATTACTGGAAGTATATATATATACTACCTGGAAATTCATTATAAGTTAACTAATTCATTACAAACAAGTTAAAAAACAGTAAGTTCGGCCGGGCCGAACTTTGAATACCCTCTACCACTTGGAAATTTTCAAAAAATAAAATCCTTAAAAATTTCTATTACAACTTTAAAAATACCGAAGATAGTAATTATATTGGAGTGTATACGACGTGGACCTACATATGCATTGTTTGTCATAAGCCATTACAATATTCAAATTCGAAACATTAATTAAACGGTCAATAATGTAACTAAAATCATCAAAATATCGTATATAGGGAGGTACCGTTATATCGGAGCTGTGCGAAGACCTGGACCAGCATAGACAATTTTCTGTCACAGGCTGTAGCATCCATTACGAACTTCAAATACGACATCTCAAACAATTTCGGTGGGTATTGTACCTAAAATCGTCAAATACCGAATATAGGGAGGTACTGATATATGGCGCCTATACGAAGACCTGGACCTGTGTAGACAATTTTCTGTCACGGACTGAAGTTCCCATTATGAACTCTAAATACGTAATTTAAAACAATCCAATTGAAATTGAGGTACCGTTATATGGGGGCTATACGAAGACGTGGACCTGGACAAGCAATTTTCTGTCTTAGACTGTAGTATCCGTTTCGAATTTCAAATACCAAATTTGGAACAGTTTCTTTGAATAGTGTCGCTGAAATCATCAAAATATCGAATATCGGGAGATACCGTTATATGGGGGCTATATGAAAACGTGGACCTACATGACCCATTTACGAACTTAACCTGCCTACTGAAAAAATAAACATGTGTGCAAAATTTTAGCCATATATCTCAATTCATTCGAAAGATAGCGTGATTACAATAGACAGACAGACGGACAGACAGACAGACGGACATCGCTAAATCGACTTAGAATTTTACGCTGATCAAGAATATATATACTTTGTTGGGTCTGACATGAGTATTTCGAGGAGTTACAAACGGAATGACAAAGTTAATATACCCTCCATAGTATGGTGGAGGGTATAAAAAGTAAAACAACATAAAATAGTGATTGAAAATATATGATTGAGTTAGAAACCTTGCTTGAAAGGTAAAATTTAGAAAATATAGAACAAAAAATTAACAATTGAGTGAGTTAATAAAAGCGGATGTGAGCAAAGCATTATGTGCTCAAAGAATAGAATTTGACACAAAAATTACCGCGGTTCAGGGACAATTTAACTTGGCGAAATCGAAAGTGCGAAGGTTACGGTCAACCCACTTGTGCCGTGTGAAATCACTCTAGATGCGATAACATCTCTTCCGGAATTTTCCGGCAACAAGGTATGTCTTGTGTGACCATACTAAGAAATAAAGTGCGGGATGCAGCCAATGCGGTACTCTCATCTTTTAACACAGTGTAAGTTTTAGTGCAATCATTGCATAGGTAAGCAAACAAACGTCCTCTCTATTTAATAGAACAGGAACTGTCCACACTTAGACAGGGTTCTTATGAACAAGAAATTCTTATGAAACTTCTAACAATAAAAAGGCAAACTCTGCGCAATCTTTCTCTAATCACGAACACAATGCAGGACACAAGAATCCAACAACAACTCTGACCAAAGACGAGTGGAGCCTATGGAGGTGGGCCCCTCCCTCTCCCAATTTAAGCATCCTACGTATCATACTCATACTGACAGGCCGCAAGGACATATGACGAAACGACCCGCTAATTCTGGGAAATACACAGAACCAAAAATAGAACGTGTAAATTATCTTAACGATGATCATAATCTACCTGATTTACCTGCTGATCTGGCATACGAAAACGAAGCGGAGCAGGCCGAGGATCACAATGAAAACGAAGAACTATTTTTTTTGGGACAAAGCCCCTCCTGCCTTGGATTTCAAGGTCAATTATTGGGAGGGAAGCTAAGCTCCTTGTCGACACAGAAGAGTCAAAGAGCTATATCAAACCACTTGTCACGGAAACCTTGTTCAATTGTTTACCACAATTGAATTGAAATTGGGTTTTCACCAGATACAGCCATCAGAACCAGTGTAAAAGGCGAGAAAAGAAAACCAACCTTATGATTAGGCTGTTGATTCAATTCTGATTTTATTATGAAAATATTTTTCTTAAGTACTACTGAAACTAATCTAACTTAACCTGGTCGCAGCCACACAATTGTTCTTATCTATTCTAATATTGAATGGAGAACATTGCAGGGCTACTTGTCATTTCATTCAAGTGGTCTTGCACATCTACTGAGTGAATATTTAGTATTTCTAGTTTCCCTAGTGAGAATTAGAACAAGTCCAGAAAAGGTCAATACAATTCAAAATTTCCCGAGCCTACCAGTCTAAGGGGATTAAGATCATTCTTAGGATTGGGAGAATATGCCGTTGTTTCATAAAAGACATTGCCAAGATTGCAAAGCCACTCTCAAACATACAATCGACAAAAATCAAATTTGATTTGAACAGTGGCATTTATGGTTTGCCTAGACAGCGCATCGGCGACCACATTTTCCTTTCTAGTTTTGTAAACCAATGCTTTCCATCTTTTGATTTTTGAGTTCGGATTACTGTCCCAAACGACAAATGTTGGTGATTGATGATCTGTGAATACATTCAGATCTGATACTCCGTAGAGATGATTTTTAAGCGTTTTTAGTGCCCAGACGATGGCCAACAACTCCCGCTCATTAGTAGCGTAATGTTTCTAATGTTATTGTGTTGGCATTCAACACAATAAGAGAAATACTAACGTCCGAATATGTAACGCTTACACATCCAGACTTTCGGAAAACATTTGATTTAACGTCATTGGATGTATCGTCACATGCTATAGGAGCTGTCCTTTCTCAAGGAGACATACCTATCACTCTGATCTCCCGCATTTTATCTGAAAGATAGAAACATTACGCTACTAATGAGCGGGAGTTGTTGGCCATCGTCTGGGCACTAAAAACGCTTAAAAATCATCTCTACGGAGTATCAGATCTGAATGTATTCACAGATCATCAATCACCAACATTTGTCGTTTGGGACAGTAATCCGAACTCAAAAATCAAAAGATGGAAAGCATTGGTTTACAAAACTAGAAAGGAAAATGTGGTCGCCGATGCGCTGTCTAGGCAAACCATAAATGCCTTGGATAATGTGAGTGTAGATACAATTCATAGCAAAATCTCATCAACTAATACAACTTAAAGAACCGACAAACCGTCGTCAATCCCACGGTAGCGGGTTCTACGACACCGGATTGACCCGAAACAACAACACACCAGTTTCGGCCAGCGGCTGCCAACCCAGTGTATACATGTTCGTGTTTGTTTATTTTTCTGTTTTGGGAGCAGCACATCCCGGAATGCTTGCTCCGGATTCTTTTGGTCCGTGCCGGGCTTGAGGAAAACCCCGGACCATGGTTCTGTACGGTTTGCCAAAATACCATCCACCATAGATCAGTCTCGGTGCGATGTAATGGATGCAGAGGATGGGTGCATTTTAGAAATTGTTCCGGTTTAACCCGGTTGCGAAACTATAGCTATAGGGACTATGTTGCTTCGTGCTGCACCAACGTAGTCGCCAGTGAGTCCACGACCTCGTCGTCAACTTCCGAGTCGTCGTCGGAGTATAGAACTCCCCCGCAGTCTCCAGAACAGCAAACTTTACTGCAGCACTTAACGCCACATCTTGCTGTTCCAATTCCGGACAATGCATCGTTCTTGCAGTTCAATTGCAACGGACTCCGAGGTAAAATTGATGAGATAGTGGATTTTATGAATCGGATGAATATCAAGATCGCAGCGGTGCAGGAAACCAAGCTCAATGAAAATTGTAGCTTACAACGTTGCAATGGTTACAACGTATTGAGGAAAGATCGCACCAGAAATGGAGGTGGGGGATTAGCGTTCCTGATACACCATTCTGTTCAATACAGACCTATCTCGCTTGAGCTAGTCTCTAGTGACCCGTACATGGAGTGTATGGGGGTAGCAGTCAAGTGTGGTACTGCCGAGGTAGAGGTGCTTAATGTGTATATCCCGCCGGTTAATAGCTGTGAACCGCGTTACTTGCCTAATATAAGCCCACTTTTGGAAGGCAATAAACGCCTGGTACTAGGGGACTTCAATGCCCACCATGAGTTGTGGCATTCCGTCCTAGGTAATGACCAGAGGGGATCAGCGTTGGCAGAGCAGATTGACTGCTCCACATTTTGCAAGGTAAACGAGGATGCCCCCACCCGAATAAGAGGAGAGTGTCACAGTTCGCCAGACTTAACCATCGTGTCACCCGGTCTGATAAATGACGTGACTTGGCAACCCGTCAGTTCTCTTGGCTCAGACCATCTCCCGATAATCGTCTCCATCAGCAGATCGCCCGATTTCATAACCTCTGAACGCCGCACTTTCCTTAGCCATGGGAAAGCCCACTGGCCCGAGTTAGGAGAGTTCACCAACCTTCGCTTCAGAGAACTGCCCAATCCTTCTGATGTTCGGGTAGCTGAAAGGATTTTCCGGGACATCATCAAAGCTGCAGCCGCTCGCTATATACCTGCTGGTCGAATACCCGAAGTAAGACCAAATTTCCC